AACAGCATGTTCACTGAAAAAGGACATCTTTTGACCTTAAAGGCCTTATAGGTCTATCATAGTCCAGCACTTGCCAAAGAGCGCCTCCAAAGCTCTCATATTTTAGATATGGCGAGTACTAGAATATGTTTTAGCAAAGGGGAAGATATGGGTTAGAGATAAAACGGATTGAGTATAGGATCATAGAAGTTGAAGCCAGAAGGAACCTTGGAAACGATCTAACAAATTGGCAGCACTCAGGCCAAATCTGATCTCTAGATCTCCAGAGGTGTTTTGTCTGGCCCACCCAATTTTTATTTTACTTTCAGAAATTTTGAGTGAATTGTCAATGTTTTAAAACTGGAAGAGTTCACATACAAATCTGAATTTCCATATTGTATTGAAAAATCAGAAGATCTGGCAACAGTGGGCCCTCCTTCTTATCTAACAATTGGCTGGAACTGAGTAACTCTGGCCATCAGTGCATGGGCACGTTCACTCCAGTTCCTTCCACTCCCTAGTGTCTCCCTGACACAGGACAAAGGTTAACTTGCTTTTAGAGTTTCACCTGTGCTCTCCCCACCCTCCAACCCTAGTCTGCTCTGGTCATTTATGATGCCTGTTCCCCCTGGGTGAATCTTGTAAACTTGCCACCAGCAATTTTATCAGCTCCTCAGTTTCTTCATCTGTATGAGAAAACTGAGGTTTAGGGAGACCAGAATCAAGATTCCTTACTGACCAATCCAGCGAACAGCCAGCCTATTTCCAAGTCCTGCTCCCAGGCTCACAAGAGAAAACAGAATTTGTAAACCATTCAGAGTCTGAGAAAACATGAAAAGATCTAGAGATTTAATAGTTAAATGTAGGCAAAATGAGGGCCTGACACTTAGATACAAGTTGATATGATCATCTTCCTGTATCCCACACTCTTATCATGCTCTCTAGACTGCCAGGCTCTTGTTTCAGTTTATCTCTATCCCACACAACCCATATCCCACAAAGCTTGGCCCAAGTACTAGTTCTGGTGAAAAAATCTATGATGATGCTATCTACATTGGTGTGTCCTTTTGCTTAGTATATGTTTTGCATAATTTGTACATGATTATGTAGAATCCAGTTTTTTGTCTGAATACACACATTAGTATGTCATGTACAAACTAGTATATTTGCTATATCACTTTCAGAATAGAAAAATCAAGACACATAACAACATAGATGGGATTCTGAAATACGAAAAGATCTGGTGCATTCGAGGGTTTATTGGGAATAATGAGAAGAATACTTGAAACTGACAGTCTTTAAGAGAATCTGGCAGGTCTGGTCTTTGTGTTCAATGCTGTCACATTTACTAATGTTTTTCTCATCCCACATCCCATCTCTTCTCAAAGAGCTTAAGGGCTTCTTTTGAGTGGGTCATAAAAGTACAAGATGATATAACAGTTTGAAGATGTGTTACAGCATTGTAATATGTCCCATCATTGTATCTGTAAAGTACAATTAATCAGAACAATGGGTAATGTACAGCATGATAACTATAGTTAACGTACTGTATTGTATATTTGAAAATTGCTAAGAGAGTAGATCTTAAAAGTTTTTATCACCAAAAATTGTAACTACGTGTGGTGAGGGAATGTTAACTAAACGTATTGTGGTAATCATTTCACCATATGTACATATACCAAATCATTATGTTGTACACCTAAAAGTAATACAATGTTATATGTCAATTATATCTCAATCTAAAAAACAAAGTAAAATAAAATAAAAGTGATGAGAATGAGGATGCAAAGAAAAAAATAGAGAAACATTCCTACAGGCAGCGGGCCCAATTTGTAACTACTATTAATAATAGTTATCACGCATTATGCCCTTGTTATGTGATAGCACAATTGTTCAAAGGATAGTCTCTCGAGACAGACTTCTTGGTCCCATCATTTACTTAGCTGAGCGACCCGATTAAAATTCTTAGTCTGAGATAAAAATTATGGCTCCCTAGATAAAATAAGGTATGTCGATGGGGCCGGCCCTGTGGCGCAGCGGTTAAGTTTGCACGTTCCGCTTCTCGGCGGCCCGGGGTTCACTGGTTCCGATCCCGGGTGTGGACATGGCACCGTTTGGCAGCCATGCTGTGGTAGGCATCCCACATATAAAGTAGAGGAAGATGGGCATGGATGTTAGCTCAGAGCCAGGCTTCCTCAGCAAAAAGAGGAGGACTGGCAGTAGTTAGCTGAGGGCTAATCTTCCTCAAAAAAAACAAAAAAAAAGGTATGTGGCTCACTTAACATATCACGTTAGTAAACATTAATAATAATTATTATTGTTATTGACAATTGAAACAGAAAATAGAAAGTGGGTTTACTCTGCATATTGGCCCAGGAAAGCGGAGGTGTTTTCCTATCCAAAGTTTTAATAAACTAAGAGTTGTTATACCACAAGATTGCAGATTTTGGAGGAAAAAACTGCTGGATTTAAATGAAGCATTGAAGGCTCTTTGGAACACATTACTCTTTTACAGTAACATTGATAAGAAGTAAATACCATTAAGATTTTATTCATTTATTTATTTTAGGGGGAAGCTCACAAAATTGAACTTCAAGGCATAAACTTCAGTTAAAGATGCTAACGTTGTTGATATAAACATAATACTGTTCAATCACATCTTATTTCTTAGCATAGCTTGTCATGCTCTCCATACTCCAGCTGCGTCTTATCTCCCAAACTTATCTATCTTAAATTCCAGGCTCCAGGCTGGGATGATCTTAAGTTATCTTAACTTCCAAACTCCAAATTGCTCTGCTTCCTTTGAACATACCAGACTTCCTTACCTCTGTGCTATTTCCTAGTTCGAGCAGGCCTCTCCATCGAGGAAATCTTCCTTCTTCAAGTCCCAGCTGAAATGCTACAGCCACCACAAGTTCTTAACCTTGAATGAACCTGTCCTTTTCTCGGCCACTCAATAGCACACCACTGATGTTCCTGTCATGACTCCATTTATACTATCTTGTGTTGTAGATCTTTGTAAACACGCCTATCTTTCCCACCAGATTAAACTCTTTGAAGGTGGGGACCATCTTTCCTCAAACTCAATTTTAAGTTATCATTCAATCTCCTTATCTACAGGAGATACTTTGGTGTCTACAAAGAACCTCTCAAAGAAAAGGCCAACTAGATCAAAATATATGCATTCTTGCACTCTTTAATCAAAATTAGTCACTCAGTGATACTTTCTTGGAAAGCTGTAGTTATACAAGCAAAACATCATTTCTTTTGCACCTTCACACTGGCCTTCTAGACGCAATTGCATTCTATGAATTAAGTTCAAGAGATATGTCACTGGAGAAAAACACTACAAAAAGTAGGGGTTCAAAGAATTGGGGTGAAGAAGTAAAGCTTGAAAATCCAACCAAATCTGTCTAATTGTCATCCTCCAGCTCTAGTTTCATGACCAGATACACCGCCAAAGCACCATGATCTGCCCTGATACAGATTTAGACACCAACCAATGCACACCATCACTATCTTTTCAGAGTCAAAGTCAGAAGTGGGAAAAGATTGCCCAGGGTCCTGATCTACCTCTCCACATCTTTAGTCCCTCCTTACATTCATTCTATAGATATGAAGGGTCCTTGTGACTCCACTCACCCACACACAAAAGGGAAGAAACAGAGAAGGATGTTCTTAGGCAGCCAGTGGTGCTAAAAGTATGTTATTGGAAAATTGCAGACAAACTATTTTATCATGTAATTTCCACTTCCCAGGGCCTTAAAAAGAAAACAAATTTATTTCTGGCAATGATACGGGTACTAACCCTGTTATTTGCATTTCCAGCTTTCATTCAGAATCTTCTCTCCCTGCCTCAGTGCTCTGCCTGAACCAGCCAGAACAATTTCTCAGAGCTGAAGCCACCCCAAGTCAAGAAACTGTTAGGACATACCAAACGAACAGAATCTGATGGAACAACTGAAAAGTCCTACGGGGGGAGGTGGGGGGATCCACCTGCAATCTGAACTATCATCCAAGTAATTGAAGATTTTTTTAAAATACACCCAAACTAACCGTGACCCAGGAAATTGTTTAAAAAATTGTTATATTAAATAACTTACTATATAAGTATTATATTTAAGGTAAATCTTGCCTAATCCTCCCAGATGGATTGACCTGTGCTGGATTAGACCTGGTATTCCAAGAAGCACTGACTTGTTTTTGATGACTAAGTTTTTAAATGGTCTCTCCAAAGTACCTGAACGCTGCTGAAGCCAGAGCAGGTTACCTAGAGCGAGCCACAGATGGAGCATTAAGCACCAAGTTTTCCCAAGTCCCCGCTCGGCGTCCCGGCGGCCGAGATGCCGATGCCTCCGCGGCGGTGGCGGAGGCTGTGCTCCTGCGCTCGCCGGGGCTGACCCGGTGGTGCTGAACCGGCGCGCGGTGCAGAATCCACCAGCCCAGGGCGCTGCTTTCCTCCCAGCCCAGGAGCACCTCGGGCACCCCAAGCCCGACCCTCCCGGGGGCACCTGCGTGCACCAGCTCCCAACCAGAGCACTTGTAGGCCTCGCTGCCCTCTGGGAAACAGAGGCCCACTTGGGTTCCATTCCCTCCACTCATCGCTCTGCCACCAGCAGCCCCAAAAGCAGTCTGGGGAGTCCCTGGGCAGATCTCCACCCCGAACCCAAACCGAGGGCTCGGTCCCCCTTTCTCTTCCTCCCTCCCTCTTTCTCTCTCTCTCCCCCTTTCTTTCTCTCTTCCAACTCCGTGCAAAATGCCACCCTCAGATTCCTGGGAAAACTCTTCCACCGCGGAGAAGCACTCCATCAAAAAGAGGGTATGAAGGAGCGGGCGCCAGGACACTTTCACACACCCCAAACAAGAAGCCGGTTCCAAGCTGCTCGGCCGCCGGTGACAGCGTCGCCGCTGCCTCCCCCTACCGCTCAGAGTCGGAGGAGTCACTTCCCGCCTCCAGGCGGTTAGATAATGCGGGCAGCCGCCGACCCTTGGGACCCTCCCCGCGAGCTCCAGCCCTTTACCTGGGTACGGGCCTCGGCGGGGGCGCCGGGGCGCAGCACAGGGCGCGGTGGCCCAGGCAGGCCGGGCGGGTGGTGCGGCGAGGACCGCGGCCGCCGCTCTCCCCTGCCGCTCCCTGCCGGGCGGCTATTTATCCCGGGGCCCGGGCCCGGCCCGGCTCCTGCCGGAGTGTTGGGCAATTGGTCCCGCTACGCGCGCGGCCCCGGGAGCCGCCGCCCTCCGCCCCCGCCGAGCCCCGCGGCGGCGGCGGCGGCGGCCACCTGGAGGGAGGGAGCCGGCCCCCTCCTCTGAGCTCCACCTTCTCTTTCTTCTCCTTCTCCCCTGGAACTTATTCCCTGCGTTTTCCCCCCTCTCTCTCTTCTTTGCGGGGCACCCTGGCCAGTCTGAACCGGTTGTAACTGCGCGGTTGGCTGGGGGAAGGAGGAGGAGGAGGAGATGGAGGCGGAAAAGCGGGCGGTAGGGGCGCTGCTTCTGCTCTCGCGGCTCCTTCGGGCCGGGCTAGGGCAGGCCGGCCAGGCAGAGGGAGGACGCGGCCCGGGCCGTGGTCTGAGGCCGGCCCGGAGCCACCAGGGCCGCTGGAGAGGTGGACACCGTCGGCCAGGCGCCCTCTCAGTGAGCACACGCGCGCGGCCCCCGGCGCCGCTGCGCCCCGGCTGCCCACCGCGTGTTCGCGCGCGCCAGCCAAGAACCGTGCGCACTTGGGGGGAGCCGGAGTGGAGAAAGGAGTACGAGTCGCCCCTGGTCTCCCAGGCTCCGGGGGCCGCCGGGCGCCCTCCTGGCCGGAGCTGTATACCCAGCTGGCAGTGATCCCAGAGAAACGGGCACCAGAACTTTGTGGAGTCGGTGCTCCTGGGCAGTGAGGAGTGAGGATGCCAAGTGCTGTTCTTTGTGACAGCTCCACGGAAAAGGGGGGCGCCCCCGCAGTGCACACAGGGTGCTGAGGGAGGGAGGCGGCATCTAAGGACATTCAGTCTGTCCCCCAGGTGGACTGCACTAACAATACACTCCTATCTTTGGCTGACAGGTAGTGGGCAAGGACGCTGAGATGGATGTGTGCTGCATCCCCGCAGAGAGTCACTGCAGCAGACTGGGGACGGTCCATAGGTACCAGGGGCTCGCCGGGTGTGGGAACCTCCTAAAGAGATAAGCACTTTTTGTGTTCCTGTGTGTATACATATTTCTGAGAAGGGCACCATACCTCCTACTAGCTTCTCAAAGGCGGCTAGAGCCATCCATCCCCCAGGATGACAATTCCCTTTTTACACTGACCACCTCTGGTTCTGACCTATACAAAGACGCCTTGCAAAGCGTAGGTTTCTGAAGTCCAGATTAAGCTGCCTAACCTTCCTGAGCCTCAGTTTTCTCATCTTGCCAGCATCATGGAGTCTGTGTGAGATGGGAGTTCAAAAAACCTGTGGACCCTGACCACACTCAAGTTTTCTCACAAGTATGAAAACAGTGGTTCATCCCTTTTGCTCCACACCATTCCTTTCTACACAGTTTACTGACTTTTAGGCTATAGGGAAGTTCTGTGTCTCTGTTCTCATCTCCACCAAGTCTTCCCAGATTTTTTTTAAAAAGAGTGTATGACCAGCACTCCCATGTCTGCTCAGGCCAGTTCTATCAACTAAGAACTGAAATGAGCTCATCCTTACACACAGTATGATCCCAACTTTGGCATAAAAGTGGATCTCGGGGGTCAAAAACTCAAAAGGCTGGGGGTCCAGACTCATAATGTAGTGAATAAAGTACTGCCTGCAGAACTTAGGGAGCATGGAAGCTGGCTCTGTGGGCAGTGGTGGCCTCTTGGTTTAGGGGATTAATGCCAGGCTGGAATGTGAAAATTACCCCTACCCCCTCATAAAGGTTCATCATTCAGTCACACCTCAGCAGAGCATTTAGACATGCAAGAGAACTCAGAAATCTAATCCAACCCAGATGCTTTACCTATGAATGGAATTTGACCCAGAGAAGCAAGGAATGTGCTCCTGATCACCCCCCAGGGTGGAGGGGGGTGGGGAGCAAGTTGGCAGAGACAAGACTAAAACCACCTCCCTACCATCCAGAGTTTTCATCCGAGTGACTCGAAGATGCAAGATCTGCTTGCAAGGTGAGAGTTAGATAAGTTTAATAGTGCTGGCTTTGCAGTTCTGTGCAGCCCCTGCCCTTTGGATCTCTCTTGGGCCCAGAAGTCGATGGACTTTCAACAAGATGGAGTAAGAAAAAAAGACAGGTCATTAAATGAGCTGGATTTAGATGAACCTCCCTTGGGAAGAAAGAAACCTGAGGGAAAGCATTTAAAGAAAAACTGATACAAAAACGATGCCCTGAGCAAAGGCGATCACTCTTTGCCTTGTATTATTATTATTATGGAGCATTTATTAAGAATTTGTGATTTGTGATTTATACGAAGTTTCACGCTTCTTAGACCATCTGCTACCTCAATCCTTTAGAGAATAAGATGGAGAAATTAACCTAAAATTGCTCTGCTGTCTTCATCCCAGCAAGGAAGCCGGAAACATGGAGGACAGAGGAAGGCATCAGTTGGTTGGCAGGGGATGGGACCTTTGCACAGCACCTGAGTCACTGGTCCAGCGCTTGCCCAGCTAACGAGACTTTCCTTCCTGACTTATTACACCAGGGCAGGCTTCTTCTCTTCTGCTCTCGTCGTTCTTCCCCTGTTTATGAATGAAAGTGTAGCTACAAAGACACTACACTTCCAAATAAAAATAACCAAAAATAAAAATAGAATTTAGAGTTTTTATAGCAGTTAGCTCAGAGATCTAAAGATCATTCTATTAATTCCGTTTCATTCTCTCACACCCTAACAGATAAAAAGATCAGAAAATAAGAGAAGTGGATAAATCATTACCTCTTATGCTCCTGGAGCTTTGGTTTAAAAGGACAAATTTTCAACTGTTAAAAATGACCTTAAAGACATACTATATCATCGTTTTACTTGCAATTCTCCAGAATATTATTTCATCTTTTTCTTGCCTTTATTTTCATCATGCTTTCTGGCTCAAAGGATGTTTTAGTCTTCGGGGAAGGGGGAAAAGGGATGAATGTAGTTCTTGGAGTGCCTGGTCATTGCCAAGAACTATGCTATCTCATTTACCCCTCAAAGCAATCTCATGTGGATAAGTATTGTTATGTCCATTTTACAGACGAGGAAACTGAAGTTCAGAGGGGTTAAGTTACTTGCTGAGTCACTCAATCCTTAAATGTTGGAGGGATTCACACCCTAGTCTCGCTGATTGCTAAGCCTGTGCTCTTCCCACTGCACCTTAGAAAAATGATTCAGGGCTGGTAAGAGCTAACACTGAGGACTGACATCTCACATGTATTAACTCATCTAAGGCTCACAATAAACCTAAGAAGTAGGTGGAATTATTATCATCTGTATTTTGCTGGTGATAAAAAGACAGTAGAGAGAAGTTAAAGAATTTGCCTACAGTTAATGAGGGGTGGGCTGGGTTCGAATCCAGGCCTCCAGGCTACAGAGAACCTTGCTCTGAACCATCACTCTATTTTCTCATAAAAGTAGATCGGAAATGTAAAATTACATAGAATGTGCATGTCCTCCTGTGTGTGTGTGTATGTACACATATATGCACTTTCCACTTGACATCCTTTTGACTTGCATCATATGGTTTCAAGGCCATAACCAAAAACGAGCTACGCCTTCATGTACATCAGTTTCCAAAGCACCCAGTATATCTCTCTATATAGGAATTATGACATCTTTAATGTGCTCATTGTCTGTTTACATAGCAAAACTATAAACTCCGGAGAACAGGTGCCAGTTCTGCCCTGTTCGTCAGTGTTCCCTAGAGCACAGTAGCAGCAGCAAATTAAAACTTGGCTCAGTGAACATTTGTTGAATGAATGAATGAACAAATGAGCAAATGAATGAATGCATGCTCAACTGTCAGTGATTGTTTTGCTGCAAGGGATCATTGAAATTCTTCAGTTGCCCTACTCTGCCAAGTTCTATTCTATTCCAAGTAATCGTAAGAATTATCTCATTTAATCCCATAGGGCAAGTGCTACATTTTACCCATTTTACAGATGGGAAGCTAAGGCTGCACGAGGTTAAGTGAGCTGCCCCAAATTAGAGGGCACCAAAGACAGAAGGCAAACACAGGCAGTGTGAGTCCACGGTCCACACTTGTAAGATTAGGCTATCTGGCCTCTCACTGTGCTTGTTCCCAGGATTCAGCACAGCACTTGGCCCACAGTAACGTCTGCACAAAGACGAAAGAGAGAGGGATAAAATTACCTCATGTGTTCAGGATAATTTAAGGTCATTTCCGACATTTTAATTCACTCATGGAATCGTGTGTTACAAATTCAGCTTGCAAGATCTCTGATGTAATCCTATTAGATAATAAATTATCTGAGAAGGGTTTATTCCCAAAGGTAGGCTGTCAAGTTCAAATGTACCGATGGATCCAATTTCTTTTTGTGAAAATACAGGTGGAAATGATGAATATTATTTTAAAATAAACAAAGACCATTGAATCGAATCTCTTCATGAAACAGTGCCAATTTTTTTAATGTGCCTATGTGTCTGACTTCTGTGTATTACATAACAAAGTTTCAGACAGCTCCAAACAATATTTCAGTCAAAATGTTGTGTTAGCCTTCTTCTCTTCTTTATTACATGATGTAGGAGAAAAAGCATGACCTCTCCTCTATGTAAAGGGTCTACACTGTCCAAAATTTGTGGGCAGTCCAAAACTTTGCCCCATGATTTCAGCAAGTAAACGTTTTTTATTTGGAAAATATGGTCACCTTAGATCTATTCGGCATGCTGCAACTTTGGTTTATTGCGTATGATTTAGTAGATGGTAGCAAACCCATGAAACTAAAAATTATAAAGAAAGGTATACCCTTGAGGGAAAAAAATGTAAAGTCAAGTATTTCCGTAAGATTTTGAACGTAGACAGAAATCAACAGAGATAGAATGAATCTAACAGAGTGAATGCATTTTCCCCCATCCACCCCATCACTTTGTATGGGTATGCTCATCTCTATCCCCCCACCCACCACATTGTAGAGCTTCTTAAGCTTTTCTATCAAAGTACTTGGGAGTTATTCCAAACCATAGGCAAAACAACCAGCTGCAGAAGTG